AAACCCTGAACCCTAAACCAACAAACGCTTGAAAGCCTATGTCGGGTTCGGGCGCCAAGGTCTCAGCCCTGATTGCACTAAGCCCCAGAAACCTGCAACGAAGCCTAGAGCCCGATACTTAGTGGGGGAATATACCGTAAAGTCATAACAGAGGGCCTACGTATCTAGATTGAGGTACATTCCTTAATTCGGTGGCTGTTGATAAACCCAGAAACTATGTCTAACACGCTGTTTAAAAGAGCCTATAAACATCTTTGTATTCCGGAATTAAGAGGCTCACAAACTCATAAGCACCGCGCAAAGCGCCTTGTAAAGAACCTACAAACACAAACCTTGTTATTTTCGAGCTACGAGCACCCTAAAACACCAAAGGAAACGTAGTTTAAGCAAGCCTACGAAGCCTGATTATATTCCGCCATTGCGGGGCTTATAGGCCCCATAAACACTGTAGAACGAAGCTGTTGAAAGAGCTCATAAACAAACTTTTGCATTCGTTACCTAAGGGATAACCTTGATTAAAGGATCGTGGGAGTTAGTAAGCAAGCATGTAAGTACTTTCTTTCGGGTTATAAGTACCCATACGTATAGTTACCCCACTAATAACCCTAGATACTATGTCCCATGATCCTGCAAGTAGACCTAAAGCACTCCTTATAGAACTCTTATAGATCCCTGAAAGGGGACCCTTTAAGGAAGCCTAGTTACTAAACGTAAGGCGTGTTGGGGGCTCTCGGGGAGCCCATGGTCAGGATCTGGCTTGCGTCTCGCCTGAAGAAGTACAACGAGGAGGCGGGGTTTAGGGTATCGGGTTTAGCCCTAAACCCTAAGCCCTAAACACCTAAACCCTAAACCCTAAACCCTAAACATCTAAACCCTAAACCCTTCTTAGGACTTTGGGTTTAGGGGTTTAGGGTATCGGGTTTAGGGCCTAGGACTTTGGGTTTCGGGGTTTAGGGCTTTGGGTTTAGGGCTTGGGGGTCAGGGCTTAGGGGTCTGGGGGGCAAGGTTCAGGGTTCAGGCTGATGTAGAAGCTGTACTTCGGGGATGGTACGTCTTGCTCTACTTAAAGGGTCATGGGACTTAGTAGGTACGGTTTAGGGTTTAGGGTTTAGGGTTTAGGGTTTAGGGTTTAGGGGTAACTATACTTATAATCCCAATGAAAGGCCTTATAACCCTACTTACTAAGTCCCATGATCCTCCAAGTAGGTCGAGGTGTAGGGTTTGTTCTAGGGTTTGGGAGTTATTTGGAGATCAAGCTTAGGGATGAGCTGGTGAGATTTCGGTTTGAGTTTGCTTCGGGCCCACGACAGAACCTAGCACTCTTGAACCGATACACCATCCCAAAAGCCTACACTCCTGCACTTAAACAACAACCCTGGATCCTAAACTCTAAGCCCAACCCTAAACCCCACACCCTACACCCCAAACCCTACACCCTCAACCTTAAACCTCAAACCCTAAACCTGAAACCCTACACCCTAACCCTTCAAACCCCAAATCCTCACTG